TAAAAGTACCCCGCCCCCGCGAGCACGCGCGTCGCCACGTAAACACGCGTCGGGTGCGCCTACGCATGAAAACGACGAACGCGCTACACATGTTGGGTATCGCCGCGCACGCCGGAGTGAGAGCAATAATCCTAGGGCCAGTATTTTGGGGTATTTCTAAATTGATGACCTGTGGGGGCTTTTAAAGTGTCTTTTATTGACTTTTTGGGGTACTGCAGTTTTTCGCCGTTTCACGGTCGCACGCAATCTGTAAACTGGGCATGTTGGGTATCGTTTTACTCGTTGTAACCTCATCTTTTATATTTCATTTAAAAAATGGGTAATTTGTTGTGTTTTGGGGCATTTAATTAAATTTGTCACTAAATTTTGGGGTTTAATAAGGAGTTGCGCTAATATTGCGCAACATAAAAATTTTCAACTACCACCATTTTATTCTATAGGGTCTTGGCATTCAGAAAATATATAATGTTGGGGGGTTTTACGTCATTTTCAGGCCTAAAATGTGGAATATAACATGGGTGCAAAAATTGAAAAAAGGGCCTCAGTCATGAAGGGGTTAAGTGTTCTATGAATAGAGGAAAGTTATGCTCCCTGGGATATGTGACATCACATAGCCCAAGAAGCATTACTTTCCTCCATTCATAGAACTTGTAAACAGACAGTGCCCGATCTCTGTGCATGTGCGAGATCTGGCGCCACCTCTGTTCACATGTTCCACGAATAGAGGAAAGTAATGCTTCCTGGGATATGGGATGTCACATACTACAGTAGCCATTGCTTTCCTCCATTCATAGAACTTGTTAACAGACACGGCATCCAATCTCTGCGCATGTGCGAGGCCGCCTCTGTTTCCCTATTCCATGAATAGAAGAAAGTAATGCTTCCTGGGATATGTGATATCACAGTAGACGTTACTTTGATCCACTCATAGAACTTGTACACACACACGGTGCCCGATCTCTGCGCATGTGCGAGATCTGGCGCCGCCTCTGTTCACTTGTTCTATGAATAGAGGAAAGTAATGCCTCCTGGGATATGTGATGTCACATAAAACAGTAGGCATTACTTTCCCCCATTTATAGAACTTGTAAACAGACACGGCGCCCGATCTCTGCACATGTGCGAAATCTGGTTTCGGATAAAAAAAATGAAATGAATACCATTCTTAATTTAAAATGAAAAACACAAATGCAGTGTTACAAACATAAAGTTTACATCAGAATAAAACTGCATGCACAATTGTTTGCAATTGGATTGGAATGCACGGCATTGCGGTGCCGTGCGGGCGATCACACTGTGGGTGGGAGGCATTTTTAGTTAGGTTAAACATGTGCCAGGAAAATTTACATGTACTGAATGTTTGGTGATTGCCACATTCGCTGCTTTATAAATATGCCATATGTGTCATTAAAGAGGAAACTTCCTCTTACCTAATATACTTATAAGCCCAGCAGATCCAGCGCTGTCTTCTCTCTCGGGCTGCCACTTTCCCTTTTACGTTATGGGATGCTTCCTGGTAGTAGGCATTACTTTCCCCCATTTATAGAACTTGTAAACAGACACGGCGCCCGATCTCTGCACATGTGCGAAATCTGGTGCCGCCTCTGTTCACTTGTTCTATGAATAGAGGAAAGTAATGCCTCCTGGAATATGTGATGTCGCATATCCCAGGAGGCATTACTTTCCTGTATTCATGGAACTTGTGAACATATACGGCACCCGATCTCTGTCTGCGCATGTGTGAGATCTGCTGCGGCCTTTGCTCACGTGTTCTATGAATGGAGGAAGTAATGCTGCCTGGCATATGTGATGTCACATATCAAAGGAGGCTCCTAGAATAGACTGATAAGACATTCTTATCTAGTTGACAATAAAGTAGAGGATGGGTTGAACCAAAAATAAACACACACTTAATAAAATAGGTTGGCTTTTTTGAGCAATGGAGGGGGGGATTAGAATGCTGCAGTTTTATTTTTTAAACGAAATTCGCTTTAAACATTGAAACGTTTGCGGGTACTTTTTATTATTTTAAATCCGTATCAAGTGTGGGAAGTCACCGATGAGCAGAGATTTTCCTAACCAATCTTCCATATGTGTTAAAAAAATCTCACCAGTGAAACATTAGTGGGGGGAAATTATAAGTCACAAGTTATTTTTAGCTAAGTAAATGAAAAAAAAAAATCAATATCAGCATCATTTCTTCAGAAAGATTTATACATCTGGTTTTGTTAACCTTGCAGGCAAAAGTTTTGTATGATTTTGTGGCGGAACCTGGAAATAATGAGCTGACTGTGAGAGAAGGCGAACTCGTTACAGTAACGAATAAGGTAAGCTTGCGTTTTCTTGTTTACTCTGCTATATGTGGCTGAAAATGACTTGTTAGCCTGTCAGCACTGTCTTACTTTGCTATTTATTGGTTTCACTTATATTTCAGTCTTTTAATGCAAAAATAAATGTAGTTAAAGGCAAAGTCCACTTTAAAAAAGTTAATTGCACACATAGTAAAAATTGCAACCATGTTCAGTGGATCGTGGGTGCAATGCTCTGGCTCCTGCAGATTCTCTCTCCCGTCTGTGTCTTTACTGAACGGTAACGGCAGGACGTTTCAATGGACTACAAGTGCGATTATGTCAATGCACTTGGATTCCATTAAGAACTACAAGACTCTCTGCTGCGGTGGCTGACGGAACTTGTAGCTTCTTGATTCATAGAGTCTGTGAATGGATGGCATGGCTGTGTCAACAGCAGGCTGTGGGTAGAAGAACCCCACAATTCAGGTAACTTGGGGAGGGGGGGCGGTGTTGATGTCACCATATTTCATGTTACACCCGACCATGGTTGTAACATGATTTTAAAAGTAAACTTCAACTTAAACATTATATGGGATCAGACAGACTTTTAAAAGCAGTATGGCTTTCTTTCTTGTTGTTTTATTCTTTAATAGCTTAAAGGGTAACTGTGCATTTGTTCAGCAGTTCCATTATAATCTGTGCAGCTGATTAGTGAATACACAGTACATCAAGTGGATATGAGCTTCAACACCGTAACCTAGTGGAAGTTGTGGTGTTGTTAGGATGGGTGTTGGTCTCTGGGCCAGAGGATCAACACCAATCCTAACATCACCACAATACCACAACTTCCACAAGGTTACCGTGTTGAAGCTCATATCCACCTTCCCACATGTGGGTATAAGGCTAGGTTCTCACCTGGGCAATTACAAACTGTGCGGCAAGCGTGCACAAAACCATGCAGAATGCCGTGTGGTCACGGAGTCGCCCACCACAGCCGATCACGCTTGCGGTGTCATTATTTTTTAATGGCACCCCAGTCGCGCCAGGTGGATTGCGCGGTTTCCCGCCGCAACTCCGCCAGTGCAATTGAACACGATCGTGGCTAAAAAAGCTGCGCGTCATGTCTCACAAAAAAAGGTACTTGTACCTTTTTTTTTTAGCGATTGCGGCTTGGATGTAACCACATTGAAATCAATGGGGCTTCACGGCAACCAATGTGTGCATTGGTAGCAAACGATCGTGCGGTCCCGGGACGCACGCCCCGGGTATCACTCGGGTCTGAAGCTAGCCTTATACTGTTTGCACTCCTTGTCCCATCAAACCCAAGTTATTGCGTTGTGGCGCTTCGGTTTCCTTTTCTTGTTTCCTTTGTCAACATTGCAGCATGACCGTACAGGTCAGATGTAACCTAAACCCAGGGTGCTAATCACCATGATAATGGGAGTTCTCTCCATCTGTAATAGCAGGCACTCCTACTACTTGTAGTAATTACTCAGCCTGAATGTATTTACACTTTCTGTTTTGAATAAAAAGCTTAGCACAGCCTAAAAAGTAAAATTTATATTTATTTGGTTTCAATTGTTCAATTTATATTTTATAAACGTAGTGTAATTAAATCTTCTAATTATTGCCCATTCTAGGGGTGCAAAATGCCCTCATTTTCCTTGGGCCAAATGTCTACAGCAAGCAATTGAATGCTTTATAGTTTAATTTTCAGATGGTGTAATCTTCTCATTTAAAATAATTGCTCAGTAGCTATGATGAAATCATCCCTACACATTTGTTTGTTTCAACAATAAAATGTGTTGAAACAATTTAGCTTTGAACTGTGACCAGTTACAGCTGTAGTCATGTGCCTCTGATTCAAGGTGTGTAATCTAAATGACGTCATATTTGATAAAAATAGAATGCGACAGTAAACGCATCACATGCTTTCTATACAGTATGACATAATCTTAAAGGAAAAGATTTTCCCCTAATTATGTTTTTATTTCATGAACATATTATTATTATTATTATTATATTTTTTAATAGAGTGGGGAGGTTTTTGTTGCTGTCTGTGTACCCATTATTAAAATTCACCCCCCTATTTGTACTGGTGACTTTTGACACTGAGAAATAAAGTGAGGAGAAATTAAAAATGTGAGTTTTTCCAGACCAAGAGGTATGGAGAAATCTTCCAATGGGAACATCTGTTTCAGAGACATCTAAGAGGGGAATTCTCTCATTTTTGGAGTTTCCCCTCCTACTTTCTGATGCATTTTTGGGAAGGAAGTGAAGCATTTCCGCGATGGCACAAAGACAGGACGAAAATAACCTCACAAGGGTTTTAATCCTTCCCTGGAGTTAGGTTTAAAATGAGCAAAGCAAAGACATAGTACCTATGGGCATTCCAACTTTGCAGATCTCGTCTGTCATCTGTAATCTAGCCTCTTGAACTGCCCTGTTCCTTGGTCTGAAGTTGTGCAGGCAAGGAAGTCCCAGATTCCCAAAGGCCTTTATCTGAAAACTTTGGGGAAGCATGCAGTTGGACATACATGCTCATTCTACGTAGTAACTTGCGACCAATCATTGAGAAAGAAACTTCCTGTCTGCACTGCAACCCCCCTGTTGCCACAAAACAGATTTGCAAAAGGCTGCAGTCACACTCAGATGAAAAGTTTCCTCACCCTTGCTGCAGGTGATCATGGGGAAAACTGTGTAAGATTTGCATTAAGGGAAATGAGGTGGACTGTCTTCATTTTGGCATGTTGGTAGTGTATAGCATTCCAAGCCTACTGTATTTTTCCCAAGCTTGTGGCAGGCAGGAACCTCATTTTGTTACCACTCCAAATCCTTCCTTTGAAAATCAATTAGCTTCCCCACTAATCTAGATAATTAGAGACTGTCTCTTATTCACTACTATGCAAGCCATATGTGTTTAAGAGTTCATGTACATGATTTTTCTCAATGGCTTCTCTTGCAGGATGTCGGAGGAGGATGGATTGAAGCAAAGAATAATCAGGGTGAAAGAGGACTTGTACCAACTGACTATGTTGAGGTGAGGGATGTTGCCAGTACTCTGCATTTTGCTTTTTCCTACATTTAAAGTATTTGTAAAACCAAACACTAAATCCTCCTATAAGCTTTAACATGTAATGTAATTTCAAAATGCATGTTTAATATTTGTAAATCTGTAGCTTTCATTAAAACTGATAAACCTAGTGATACATGGTGATCCCAGCATTGAGGTCCTTGTTCAACTATAGGATGTTTAATGCTGTGTTCATCTTCCACTTGTGCCCCTGCATTGTCACCCTGTTATACAGGCCTCTGATGGGGACTGCAAGTTGCTATTTCCATATACATTACACCAGCATGGTCCACTGTTGTCATGATCAAGAAAGCTCCCCTGAGAAATTCCATGCAGCCATAGCTGGAGTGCGTGGATATAGAGAGAAAGTGCTGAAAATAGGCTGCACCAGATCAGCATTGCTGATCTTATGATATAAAATGTCAATTGTTAATGACGCACAGTGCTTAGCAAACTATACTTTAATAACATGCAACTAGGGATGTCCCGATACCACTTTTTCAAGACCAAGTACAAGTACTGTCCCTCATGTACTTGCCGATACCAATTACCGATACTTTTTCTTAAAGGGACATGTGACATTTTTTCTAAAACAATACAGACTAATGATTCTAGGGCAGTTTCTCACCAGTGCTGCGTGCATTGGAGGTGACAGGTTCTCTTTAAGGTGACATTAGGGGTCTTTTAGACTTCTAGTGTCACCTTTCTACTTCACTGGATTCACTGAATGTAAATACAGCAGGCAGTGGCTGGGAGCAATAGCCAGCCTGCTATTGGATATTTTAAATTGCAATAGCCAATAGCAGGCTGGCTATTGTACCCGTCCACTGCCTGCTGTCAATCAGCAAAGGAGGGAACTGAAGACACAGTTCTCAATCAGGTCCTCTCTGCTGATTTACAGCAGGCAATGGGGGCGGGGGGTACAATAGCCAGCCTGGTATTGGCTACTGCAATTTAAAATATCCAATAGCAGGCTGTCTATTGTTACAAGTGTCAATTCCTTTTCCACTTGATGAAACTGTTTGCTTTTGGTCGTATATCTCAGTGTAAGATGTCCATGCAGATGTTTAATAATGCTCTCACCAGACCCACACAGAAGTTTTCCCTCTCAATGAAAGAAGAGAATATCCGTTTTGTGTGAAGGCAAGATTTACAGCTTCTCTCCCCCCCGTGAGCACACTGAACAGACATTCTCTTCTTACAATGAGAGTGAAAACTGCTGTGCAGCAAGGAGCACGGGCATCTCACACTGAGATATATCACCAAAAGGAAACCGATTTCATAAAGTTGAAAAGGACGGGACACGGAGGAGCAGCAGCAGCTAAGATACAGGGTGGAGGGGGGCAGCGGGGGATCACAGCTGCAGTCTCTTCTGCCTTCTGGTGCTGGCTACAGATGTTTGTGAAAGAGACACAGAACTCTGCAGCCAACACCAGCAGGGAGAAGAGACTGTCCACACAGAACGCTTACCGCCCGCCATGCTGTCACACTTCCAGAGAGGTCAGAGCGGAGAGGGAGCCTCGTTTGGTGGTGAGGTATTCCGGGGCAGGGCCTATGGGGGTCAATGGCCAAAGCTAGTTGAAAAAATGTAAACGGCCGGTATCTGATCTAGGCATCGGGGCATTTTCAGGAGTACAAGTACTCCTGAAAATGCCCTGTATCGGCCCCGATACTAGCATCGGTATCGGGACATCCCTACATGCAACTATCCTATCTTTTTTGGCATTTTGTTTTTTTTTTTATCTCCCAGTCTTTAATGTTATTCTGCCTTCCTATGTAACACTGTTGTCAACATTGACTAATTGGAGAAAGAAATAAAAGGTTTAGGCGTTCAGACCTTGCTTCACCTGAATTTACCATCAGTATATGCTTCCAGTGTATTATTTTGTGGCTTGAATGCAACCTTGACCTTTTTTTTTGAAAAAGCCAATTGCCTTGCTGTGTATTGAAGCTTCGTCTTTAGATCACTGACCCAGAACAAATATGAAGCAAATCAAATCAGAACTTCTGGTTTGTATATTTGTCCTTGGCCGGTAACGAAAAAGTTTTAAAGCCTTTGGACCCGCATCTGGGTCCAAGCAGGCTTAGCTTCTGTGAAACACTTAACCAATATTGTGTATTCCCCAAGAACTATATGGAACACAGTTGTATGTAATAGGAAAAAGTTGTTTTATGATATGCAAAGTCAACTGTAGTACCTTTTATGGGGAGTATGTGCAGAAAAGGGTAATATGTGATTTTAAATATAGTGCATAGAGTAATCCAAGATATAAAAGGCCTTGATTTTTAGCATATTAACAGGGTTATTCACAGAAGGGTGAAGAGTTTGGAGAACGCAGGAGAAGTGAGCAATCTAGGACAAAATAGCTGAACTGGAAAGTGAGCTGAATTGGAGAATGTGTCTAAATCGGCTATTTTGTAAGGCTGGTAATGATTGAAATTTTTGTGTTCGATTTAATCGAAATATTTTAAAATAGATTAATCGATTAATTTCAATTAATTATAACGCACATGCAGATCCAACTACATTGGCCTATACACATACAGCACAGCAATGAAGTAATAAAATGAACTAGCATCGCACTAATCCAGCACGTTATTAATCTCACGTGCCCGACTCAATATGGCCGCTGCTTGAGTGGGGCAACTCAGAATAATAATGTGCTGGATTAGTGTGATCCTAGTTCATTTTATTACTTCATTGCTGTGTTGTATGTGTATAGGCCAATGCCTTGGCTGGCGCCCGTGCAGAAAGTTTCTTGGGCAAACTCACAGGCTCAAGTGGCTCCGTCGGCTAACGAAGGGGGGAGGAGTCCGGTGACGTCACGGACATCGAAGTCACCGGACTCCTCCCCCTTCCCTTTTGTTAGCCATCACGGACATCGACGTCACCGGACTCCTCCCCCTTCCCTTCGTTAGCCGACGGAGCCACTTGGGGAAGGGGGGAGGAGTCTGGTGACTTCGATGTCCGTGACGTCACCGGATCGCCGACGGGACTCCTGGAAGCCGGCGGAGAGGTAAGTGTTTTCATTAGCGATCAAAATAATTTTAATCGATCAAAAAGTTTAACAATTAATCGAGAAGTTAATCTTTAATTTCCACAGCCCTACTATTTTGGCCTAGATTGTTCACTTCTCCTGCCTTCTCCAAACCGTTCACCCTTTTGTGAATAGCCTAGTTATAACACTGGTCTACAAGGAGAAAGCCTCGGAAATTAAAGTAGCTGAGTTTGACCAGAATGGGATCACTAATAAAGAAAAATGAAGTCATGAGTATTAATTGGCTCCCGTTTCCAAGATAAAGCTTCAGGTCACAATTGCAGCAAAATAATTCAAAATTACGAAGGGGATGTGCGATTATGCTCCATAACCTTTCTGCAAAATGTGATATAGCAATGAGAATGGTGCCACACCAATCATTGTTAATGTATCTTTTTATTGATACCAATAACATAACTTTCCATTCATTGATTGGTTTTTCATGTAACATTTTCATGCTTTTTGCATGAAAAACTGACAAGCTCTAACATCAGATGAAACGGCAAGGTTCCATCTTTATTCGGTATCTAAAGTGCGCTTTGTGGCTTTTCTCCTGTGAACTGCAGTCGGATCATCCCTGGAGGGATTCCAGCAGTAAAAATAACAGTCGCTACTATGATTGGTGGGTTCCCTCCACACCATTGGGCTTGTGAAAGGCATGGACTTTTTCTTCCCATTTAGTCAATGACGCAGATAAGTTGCAACAATAATAATGAGGGGCCCAACTCTTGTCCTGATCCCCTATTTTGCATCCAAAATATAGGTGGTATGCCTTTTTTACCACTGCCGTCATACTGCACTTTTGAGATGCAAATGTAACCTTGCCACAATTGCAGCGGAAGTTATCTGCGTTGTTTACACAGTTTCAAGGCATCTTGGTTTCTGAGGGAAAATATCACGCAACTGTTCCTTGGAAATGTTGGGCAATGACACTTTCACAAGCCACCAGATGTAACTGTATGATGCATAGATCTGACCAAGACACATTTTTCCCTTCAATAAAAGAACAATGAATTACAGTTAGGTAATAATCTTTAGTCTCAAAGTGAAGATAGATTTATAAACCTTCCATGTGGTACCATTTTCATTGTTTTTCCGTACTTTGTCGAGAAGTTACGAGGCATCATAATCATCAGACACCTCCCTCCCTTGTAGGCAAATATACTCGCCTGTGTAAAAATCTTTTTTAAATCTCGAAAACTTTAGCCAACCAACCAGCACCTTTATCACCTGTTTTCGAATTCATCTAATCAAAATATGTAAGAATTAACACATTTTATCTCGGAGGTCAATCATTTTCCAAAATTTGTAGATCAGTGTAATATATGTATGCCTGTTTTTTGTTGAACCTTTTATATATAGGTATAATATATTTACAACTTTTTAGAATTTTTTTGTCTCTGGTAACCATATTGAAATGTACGGGATGTGATGTCTAGTAAAGGCTTAATCCACGATAGCATTCAACTAAACCCAGGCAAAACTAGTATGTTTGAGGCCCATTCCCACTGGTGCGGTGTGTTAATCTCACTGGTCCCTTCAGCCTCGCTCCCGCTCCTCTACAGTTTTCTAAGGTCCTATGAGTCATTACATCCTATACAGTGTATTGAACGCAAGGATGCCCGAGGGGGATTGCATTGCTAGAGCGGAGGAAAAAACAGGCTGAAGGGTCCGGTCTGGGAGCCAGCAAGGATCACAGTTCGGGGGAGTATAACTTTATTATTTTAGCTCCCTAAACAAAATGAGAATTTAACCTTTGCAGTGCGGTGGTACCCCCACAACAAGGGTATAGATTTAATTTCCTGCTTTAAATAATAAAGACTTATTGCTAAACAAGCCATTTTGTAATATAGGATTATTTCAGATTACCTTTACATTACAAGCACACCAGCTGTGATTTTCTTTAAAGCGTGACTGAACCCCAAAACATAAATGTAATATGTTGCAGCTTACCAATCCTTAGATGTCATGGTTGCATTCATTTTTTTTTAGACTTTTTTTTCCCTTTAGTTTCACCTGGTAGTTAGGCAAGTAACATATTCCCTGTTCTAGGGTGGCAATCCCTACTCACTGCTTTGTATTTATGGAAAAGCAGATTTGTAACCGTAAATTCCACTTCTTATCTGGACTACAGACCCTTCCCCCTCACCATATCTGCATTACGTAGGAGAAAATAGGTCTGCAGTTTCTAGTAGATAGCTGATAACATTGTTTGAGATATCCGTTCAGTGCACAAAGTGTTAAAAAGACACAGGATTTCTAACCGGATCAACAGGAATTTTTCAGTACTTGCAAAAATTGTACTTGGCCTAACAAAACAAATGCAGCCACCACATTCCTCCTTGTTGGTACTTTCCGTTTGAAAGAGTCTGTGGAGTACCTTTATTCAATACTAAAAGACTAATATGTCTGCTGGCATGGACATGGGGAGGATTGTTTTGTTCTGAATAAAAGAAACCATGTATTGTAATATTATTATGCATTTTATTCATCATTTTACACTTTGCTCCTGTCTGTCATTTTGTAAAATAAAATAATGCTTGTCTTATAATGTAGGGACTTGTGGAAAGTGATGATGTGGATTCATCACATGTGGATGTGTAGTTCATGATCGGAACCACACGTTGGTATAAAGGTGTCTAAAAATTTTTTTTAAAAACAAATCTTCAAAAATACAAAATAATAACCCCCCCCTCAATACAGGTCTGCTTTCCATCAGCATGCATATCACCCAATACTTTTTATATCTTTTTTTCCAGTTAACAGGAGATGGAGCTGCTTCTAACAACACAGCTCCAGATTTGTCTTTCTTTGATTCACTTTCTGCCATCGCTGCTCAGACTGCTCAGACTGCCAACAATGGTGAACAGGTATGTCAGCAGTGTGATTCCATGTATAGTAAGTTCTCTATGAGGTATATGTGCCTTGCAGCAAATGCAGGGCTTTCATTTGGCGTGTAGGGGTTTATCTGTAGGCCGTACCAATGCCAGGGGCAGAAACACAGATTTGGACAACCGGTATGGATGCACTAGGTCAGAAGGGCAAAGGCCAGATGATATCATTTGCAGGGTTGGGAGGTTTGAGCTACTACATGCTAACCGAGTAAGCCCACATAATGCACCAGCGCTGGCTGATGGGGGCAAGAGCCACTGAGCAGACAAGACACAAATAAGGAGGGGATGCATAGACTAGAGCCAGGTACAAGGTGATAAGACCAGATACAGACTGACAAAACCACCTACAGGTAGAGGAATGTACAGAAAGGAGATAATAGAAATTAATTTGCTCAAACTTTTAAAATCTCTAGCCAGAGTTATTATTGACATTTTTTTTCAAAATGCAGATGAGTTCCATTTAAAAGTGGTTAGATATATTGTTGAATGGGTAAAGCATACTACGAAACAACCAGTACAATAATGCATTGCAAAAGAGGAAGAGGGAATTGTCTGAAGATCTTTCCTCTGTTAACTCCGCTATTTAAACTTTGAGCAAGGTGGTAAAGAGTACATGTACCTCACAGCCATAACATTATGACCACTGGTTGAGTGAATAACATTGATTATCTCATTACAATGGCACCTGGAAGTGGGTGGTATATATGAGGCAGCAAGTGAACATTTTGTACCTGAAGTTGATGTGTTGCAAGCAGAAAAAATTTACAAGTGTGAGGATTTAAGCGACTTTGACAAGGGCCAAATTGTTATGACTAGACTGCTGGGTCAGAGCAGCTCCAAAACTGCAGCTCTTGTGTGATGTTCCTTGTCTGCATTGGTCAGGACTTTGAGGTGTTGACTTGGCCATCAAATTATCCAGATCTCGATCCAATCAAGCATCTATAGCAGGGATGTCCAAACTGCGGCCCTCCAGCTGTAGTGGGACTACGAATCACATGAAGCATCTCTCTCCGGGAGTCATGTCGCAACTTACAGAACTTAAGGGATCTGCTACTGACAGCTTGGTGCCAGATACCACAGCATATCTTCAGAAGTCTAGTGTAGTCCATGCCTCAGCGGGTCAGGGCTGCTGTGGTGGCAAAAGGGGGACCAATACTACAATATTAGGCGGGTGGTCATAATGTTATATATTGGTTATAATGTTGGTGTATATATTGGATCCAAGTGTTTACGTTTTTGGTGGAGATGGTACATTCTCTCATATCTGATAGTTCTGCCCACAATTAAAGGTTTATTGACTGAAAGTATGGCATATAATCCAATAAGTGATCTTGTCTCCCTCCTTAAACAATTTTGTTCGATAATATGCCTTTATAAACCTCCATCTATACAAGATATTTGTTCCCACATTTTGCTCAATTCAGCTAAAAACCTGATTTCCAAATAATGGGTATCCCATTCACCCCCAGAGACTGATACACTGATATTAAGAGTAGACAAGCTGGGTATTTGTTAATAGTTGGAAGGATTTCAGAATATCAGGCATTTTATACCATATTGGCTGGTTTGCTTCTTCAATGGAATACAAGCTTTTGGTGTGACTGCTTCTGACCAATGGTCAGTGACTCCTGAAAACCTTTTCCATGTAAACGGTATAATTGTTGATATAGCAAATGATAATAACTCTGATGGATATAGCCGTGGAAGTAAGAGCCTGCGTAAACAGCATCGGTTTGACATCAGTTTCAGAAGCTCATTTACAAAGGCCTTTTATTTGTCCTGTAGCATAGGAAATACCGTATATACTCGAGTATAAGCCGTCCCGAATATAAGCAGAGGTACCTAATTTTACCACAAAAAACTGGGAAAAAATATTGACTCGAGTATAAGCCTAGGGTGGGAAATGAGGCAGCTACTGGTAAATGTACAAAATGAAGATAGATACCAATAAAATGACATGAATATTTATTTAAAAGAAAAACAATAACCTAGCTCTGTAAGTGGAAAAGGGGGTACAGGGCTACATATCATGTACTACGGATCATTTAACCCATTCATATTAGCAGAGGATAATTGTAAATCTATTGTTCAGTGCATTCTATATGTAGTATATAGTACATGTACATATAGAGTGCCTGCAACAATACATTTACAATGATCCTCTGCTAACATGAATGGGTTAAATGATCCATAGTACAGGGCTACATACAGATCATTTAATCCATTCATGTTAGTATAATTGTAAATGTATTGTCTGCACTGTATTAGCAGTATATACTCTACATAGAGTATATACTGCTAATACAGTGCAGACAATACATAATTGCTTAATAAATCTCCCCCCCAAATCTGCCCTCACTCACTGTGTGACTGTGCCGGAGAGAGCAGGGACGAGTCAGCGGCAGCGCTGGTCCAGTGGGAGGAGCTCCAGGTGGGGTCCTAATTTAGCTGACTTAGAGGTGCCTGCCAGCTAAATTACAACCCCACCTGGAGCTCCTCTCGCCTGACCAGCGCGCCGCTGACTCATCCCTGCTCCCCTGCTCCTGACTGGCCGCTGCAGGGTTTTTTTTTTTTTTTCTTACTTACCTCGCCGAGCGTCGCGTCACTGCTGCTCCGGTGGGCGGCGCTCCGAGCGGGGTCATCTGGCAGTCTCCGGCCACCTAAATTAGGACCCGGAGACTGCCAGATGACCCCGCTCGGAGCGCCGCCCACCGGAGCAGCAGTAAAGCGACGCTCGGCGAGGTAAGTAAGAAGAAACCTGACCAGCGTACTCACTTTCCGCAGTGCTCGAGGCGCTGACTCGAGTATAAGCCGAGGGGGGCATTTTTCAGCACAAAAAATGGGCTGAAAAACTCGGCTTATACTCGAGTATATACGGTATGTGGAAAATATGTCCAAGGAAACAACATCTTATATGGACACAACAGCCTTGGGATTTGTACTACACACATGGTGACTGAGTTTTCACATTCATGTTAATAATTCCTATTCAGCATGCTTTGCATCTGTGAAATTTTTTACTACTTTTGTATTTATAAAGGATCAATATATTTTAATAGTAACACGTGGAAACAGGCACATTTTCAGAATTATTTCTTGGAAGTAATGAACAGATTTGGTTGCTGGTGCATAAAGAAAGTTTTTATATTTTAATTTAGAGTTTTTTAATTATCAATTCAATTACATCATTTTACATTTATGTTAATTTTAGTAATGTAAGCAGACAGATTTTTTTTTTCACTTCCAGTATTTATTGAATCCTTTAGGCTAAAAGCACAAATGACCCTTGGTCAAGCTGGAATGCACCTAAACCACCTACGTCTGACAGTGCAAATGATCCTTGGGGGGCAGGCCAGAAAAATTCAACATCAAACAACTGGGATTCCGCATTTGAACATCCACAGGCTTACCAAGGCCCAGGTAGGGTATGCAGTAGTAGAAAATATGAAGGGAAAACGGTCACGCCATCTTGGTGTGGAAGTATAACATGAAGGCTTGTCTTTCTTTCCTTTATTCCCCACGTTTTCTGAAGGAGTGCCATTTCCTCTATACTTCCCCTTCCTCCACAGATCTGCCACCTGCTGAATTGTGTCAAGGTATTGCCTACATTTTCTAGTTCCCTGCCATGAACTCTACTCCACTTTGCGTCACGCACAAGCCAACCCTGACGCACAGGTCCCCTTCCCCAAATATATTTGCTCTGTCCACATTGTCTGCTGCAATATTATTCAGTTCTGGGTACAGTAACTTATTAAATGGGCAGTAGTACAGGGATTATTGAGAATCTCCCTTCTAATACAGGATGTTTACATACTCTCTCTCATCATGGTGGCTTTCCAGATGGAGAGAAGCAGCAGCAGCAGCTTTGTGAAGTCTTTCAGCAAATAGCCTAGTGTCAGTTTTTGTCCTAGGCTAGCTGAAGAGGTGTTTTGTTTGGCTGTGTTACATTGTTGAACATACTGACCTGGGACTATCAGGCTATACAGAGTGGCCCAATCTCATCGCTCTGGTAGGACTAAAACTTGTGCCACAGGGTCTCTTCTGACATATTTGTACTGTATGCATATACATTTACTACACCTGAAAGATTAAAGTTTAGTGGAAAATTGACCCTTGCATTTGGGCTCCCCTTGGACTGCAGCGGTTAAATGCTAATTTTTGTCTAGGGGACTATAAAAAAACAAAAGCAGTTTTACTTACTTTATCCCTCACCTCTGCAGGCTTCCTCCTCTCTGTGTGATCCGTCCCCTGAAGCTGATTCTCTTTGCAGCTCCATTGGTAGCAGGCACTCTTGACGTCAGCATATACAATGTACATGTGCATTGTGAGGACGCCAGGGGCCTGCCCACAACCAAGAGCGTCGGAGAGAAGCAGAGCGGGTCAGCTGATGGGGGAATGAGGGATAAAGTAAGTAAATTTCTTTTTATTGGTACCCTAGGCAAAAATGACCATTTAACCCCTGCAGTGTGTGCGGGGCGGGGGGGGGACCTTTAGTTCAACTTTAAGTAATTTACTGACCCTATACTTCAAGTCTAGCCAAAACTTTGATTTTCTTTTGGAATGAATTAGAAAAAGTGAGAACTCCTGTCAGGTTGGAAAAACCCTGCTTTTTAATTGACATCATATGCGGATCAAAGGTAACGCCTCTGATCTTCATATAAATGAAACAGAGTAAGTACAAATTAATAAGGTTTCTTTGTATTTCTTCTGAATCACGTTTTGAGCAGTGTTGGGTAGCATTTTATCACAGTGATACCAATGACACTAACTTTACTATGCCAAAAATGTCATAGGATGAAATATTCTGGCTAATACTTACACTACACTCTGAGACACGTGCACCAAAATCAGATGATTCCTATTAAAATGTGTTAGTTGTGGCACTTTTGTGTGGTCTGAAAACAACATGAGTGAGGTTTCCCTTTAAGAGTCTTCCATTCATTGCAGCTGTTGATGATGACGAGTGGGATGACGACTGGGACGATCCCAAATCCTCTCCTCCTGGTTACCTTGGTTACAAAGATTCAGAGAACTCTGAACCTGGAGCGGCTCAACGGGGAACAGGAAGACCAGCCTCCATGAGGATACCTCTCAACAAGTACATGCTTATGTGTATATATATAATAAGCTGAACAAAGCAGAATGATTGTAGATATATAACATTTTTATTTCCTTTTTATCATTTTATAGGTGTAATTAATTAATATGGTCATAGTTAAAGCCCATCTCCTGGCAAACAAAAAAAGTACCCTTGCAGCAGAGCTACCCCCAGACTGCAAGAGTTAAGTGCACGGTTTTGTCTAGGGCTGGAGTAAAGCAGATTTACTTACCTGATCCCCGCTTCCCCAGTGGCCATTGCTCGCCTCTTCGGCTGATGGAATGTCCCTCTGCATCCTCTCATCTAATACAGTTCTATGGAACCTGCATTAGACATGATGATGTCAGTGGTCCTTAGACCACCAGAGCCCAGGGGAAAAGAGGCTGGAGGAACCATTCTTGCAGCCTGAAGGGAGCCAACAGGAGCAGGGATCAGGTAAGTAAATCTGTTTTTCTCCAGCCCCTAGACAAAACTGAGCAGTTAACCCCTTGCAGTGAAAGGATAGCCCCACTGCAGGGGTACTTTTTTGTTTGCCTGAAGATGAGCTTTATCTTGGCTAAATTGCACACAGTACATGGTATTAAATTAATTTGTTTACCTCGGCCTATTTAATTGCATTTAAAACTGAACTTTCGTCGAAAACAATCTTTGGCCATTTGCATTATAAAAATCAATGAACCGTATTAGAGTGTGTGCAGTGTGAGGCCGCTGCTGCGTTATGTAATGCTCTTACTTTTACTCCCCTCCTACAGTGCTGTCAGTACCAATCATCCGGTGCAGAAACCTACAGTTCTGGCTGGAGCACACAAATCACAAAGGGCCGCTTGTTCATTCCAAAAATGTCTTGCGGTCTTTTTAGTGCATGCAAGACATTCTGTGATTGGAAATCTTGACATTCATCCACACCTCCAACGATCACAGAATGCCATGCATACATCGAGAGGAATGCAAGACGTTTTCGGAGTAGACGATCGGCAGAGGGTGGGACTCGATGTGATCTTTGCACTCCAGCTGAAGTCAAGGCTGGATGTTCAGCGCTGTTTGAACTGTTTGGGGGCAATGAAAGGAAAAGTATTACATAACGCAGCGGCAGCCACACATTGCACACACTTCATTAGTGTTCATACATTTTTACAGTGCAAATGGCTGAAAATTGCTTTTGGTCAAAGTTCAGCTTTAGAGGACAGATTCACTTTCATAGTATACAAAACCATATGACCGTTCCTGCACGATGCAAGAAGATAAGTACACATGAAGGCTTGGGTGAGTTATTTATTACTGCACCTTCTTCATCTTTATGCACTTTGAGTCTGATTCTTCAGTTTTAGTGTCAAGGGTCAGATTTTATTGGTCAGGAATGAATTCTCATCATATTTAAAAGCAGATTTCAAGTTTCACTGACCGTTTCTCTGGCAGTGTTGTAGTTTGTCCCAGGCCCTGTCGCTATCAGTTTTGCCAGAAAACCTGGTCTCTGAGTAAATATAAACATTGAGAATTGAGATGTGAAATAAGAAAGGAATGAATGCACTGAATATTATTCATTTATTCACTATATACAGTTATTACAATGCTGCTTTTGTTTGTTACAGTGGTACGTTCACAAAGAAAAATTGATTTTTCTTAAAGTGACTTAAAGTAAGAAATCCTAAACCACCCGAGTACCTGCCTTTAATACCCATTCATTACCAGGTCATTTTTCAGTTTCCAGTGCTGTGATAGTTTGACTAACAATCACTCGGTCATTGAACATTGTACCTAAGTAAGTTTTTATAAAATAAATGATAAACGGACAGAGCTTTGTTTTGGTGGTATCTAATAACTCCTGGGTTTTTTTTTTTTTTTATGATTTACTATTTTGAAAAAAAAAAATGCCTGTTTCCCTTTCTGTAAAATGACAGACCAGTGTGAACACCCCCAAAATGACCCCCAGGTGATCACATTTTTTGACACAATCTTTTAAAAATGAAGAAGCATGCCATTATTGAGGGAGTTAAAACATGCAGCTTAGGTAATCATACGCTAGATACAGCACATCAGGTAATACACCGAGGGGGATCAGAAGGTGAAGGGTTTAATGCACCAATACGTACTTCCCAATACCAATACCTTTTTTTTTATTTTTTAGTGTCATGTGACAGTTTTTCTACATCAATGTGGTGCAGCGCCAGTGCCCAGTCCCAGCTGCAAACACTGCACCCTCTGATAGTTCTGCCACTAGCTCAAAGCTGTAGAGGGACTACAAATCTCAGCAATACATTATACAACAATGCAGAATACCACCAGCTATGGAGGACTACAAATCACAGCAATGCAGAATAATACCATCAGCTAGAGAGGACTGCAAATCCCTGCGATTACATTATACAGCAATGCCAAATGGCAGCTGTCTGTACAGGACTACAAATCCCAGCAATGCATTATACATCAATGCAGAATAATACGAAGCTACATACTCTGCACTGCTTTGGGGTGCCAGCCTGATGTCTCCAACTTTGGATCTCGGGTGGCTGTGCAGGGTCTATGATGGGCTGTGCGCTCTCTATGCTGGGCTGTGCAGGCTCTTATCAGCGGTCCCAGTCGGTCTCACAGGTGGCGGCGTGGAGGATTTTTGGCTGTAAACAGTAGTATGTGATTGCTGTGATTGGTTATCACAGCGATCAAGTTACAAAGCCGCATGTATTGGACCTGCAGACTATCACTTAGCTCAGTATACAGTGATCAGCAGGCGGAACAACAACTTGAGAGCTTTATTTCAGTGGCATTTATAGACGGAGGGTAAACAACAGACACCACTCGACCGTTTATAAATGTACCATGGTAATAAAGTGGTTACATTCCAAATGCAAGCTACTTTTGTAAAGGGAAAAGTGAATACTTCTTTCCTCTGCTGTCCATGGCACTGAATGCTGCTCTTAGCAAGAGAAATTGCTGGCTGAAGTCCCTGTAGCCGTCAGTATTTGCTCCTACCAACCCCTACGCCACCACAGGACGCAGTATTTGGACTTTGAGCTTGCTGACTGGGCTACCCCCACTGCAAGGGTTAATTTTTATTTTACCCCAAGTACAAATGACACCAAATGTAGATGTTCCTCTTTCTGAGCAGTTGTTTTTTTTTTGGTCCTTATTTAGAAGTATGATGTAAGTGGTAAGTATGTGGGAAAGTCTTTGTCTACAGTTTTCACACTGAAATAAACTTCCGTATGATTTAAATATAATTATGGTTTCAGCCGATGTTTAGCGACTAATCGTTCTCTGTTTTTTAATTATTATTATTTTTTTTACAGATTTCCAGGTTTTGGAAAATCGGGAATTGAACAGTATCTGTTATCTAAACAGACAGCAAAACCCAAAGAGAAAATCTCCATTATTGTAAGTTGACTGAGCTGTCCACTTTCTTTCTGTATTCAGAGTTGTTTAAAGAGGAACCTTAACACGGATTCCCCCACCCCAGTTTTTGTTTCTGTCCCCTCTTACCTGTTTTGCAGGGATATCGTCAAATATACATTCAAAAATACTCCCACCACCCAGCGAATCCAGCGTAGTCCTGCTGAGATGCACTGCTTCCCCTTTGATGTCATCAGCACCCGGCTGTCTCTTCCGCATTTTTCATGTGCCACCATATCCTTCCTTCAGCCGCTGTGTGTCCCTGCTCCTGCATCCCCCTGGAATAAGTGACGGGGATATCCCAGGAGGCTGCAGAAGCAGGAACATGTCATTCTCCCTTAATTGAGAATAGAGTCAGGGGGCAGGATGAAATTATAAAAGAAAAGCTAAAGGAAACAAACAAATATATAATGAGGGGAGGGCTGCAGTGGGAAAAAGTTAGTTTTTAGAGTGAAGGTCCGCTTTAACCCTTTCATGACCCACTGAGATGTAGGCGCCCAGGCCAAATTTAGCATGATTGGTTCCCAATTGTTAGTGTAGTTCAAGCGTCTGTCAGTGACTGTGCGATCCAAGTGCTAAAGTGCAACTTCGATTAAACTCGACCTACTGTAAATTCAAAATGTGACTCAAGCTCCTCAGTCCCATTATTGTGAAAAGAGAACAGTCTCCGCCCAGAATCATTTCCTTATTGATTGGAGTGGGCCGCTCCTTTTCTTACACTTGCAGAGGCAGAAGTACTGTATACTTATTTATTTCCTAAGTTCCTCAGCTCCATCTAGTGGCCATGATATATTATTACAACACACTACATTTGAACTGTGAAAAACATTTGAACATTCATTTTTGGCATTACTCAAAACAAACATTCACAGATATTCGCAGGGTGAATTGTTTATAAATACCACTTGGTGTATTTTCCATTTATTCTTCAATCTCAATGCAGTTTTAAACCCCCAGCTTATACTTTGTTTGTAGCATCTAGCGCGCTTGTGTTTGTCGGATGTAAGATGAGGCTGTTTTTTCAATAACATTTGTGTAGCATGCATGTGGTGTAATCTGTTATAAAATATTGTTTACAGATTGGAGATTATGGCCCAATGTGGGTCTACCCAACCGCAACATTCGACTGCGTCGTGGCTGATCCTAGGAAGGGATCCAAAATGTACGGCCTGAAGAGCTATATTGAATACCAGCTAACAACAACAGTAAGCGAGCAGAACAATTGGTAACATATGTTAAACACATGTCCTATATTTTATTTGGTATTTGGCCTCCCCAGAGTTGCTTTTATTATCAGCAGCATGCGGAGGCTGAAACTCTTTAAAATAATGTAGTGGCTTTTGCATGCACTGAGCATCACATGCTTTATAATCCTTCTGCAAATGATTAGAAATTAAGGTAGAACTCCAGGGTACAACTACAATTACAGTCAAACATTGTCATTACTCTTCTAGCTGTAAAGTGTTACAAGAGCGGCTGAACAGAGTTTAAAATCTTTGAGCAGTTAAAACATTGTACTTGTTGTATTTCAACTGTTTTTAGCAGTTTGGCTGGAATCCTAATTTAAAGAGAAAAGCAACATTTTAGGACCACACAGGAACATTCCATCATCAGGATCCCGAATCATTGTTTTTCTATGTGATCATGCAGTAAAGCAGAGCTTTGCACTTTGATAAAAGCTTGGTGGTATGCTGCACATATATCGTGTTCATGTTATACACCATTACCAGTCGGGAGTCATTGCAGCACCCATTTAACCATATGCTCAATTCCAGTATAGTGTGCAAAAGGGATATACTCCATGAGACTCTATCACCTGCCCATTAAAAATGTCATGGATTGGGACTCGCAGGTATAAACTGGAGTCAGGTATGTGGAACATTTCCACTACACTGGCAGGGACACTTAGAGAAAAGGGTCCAAGCAGTGTAGGCTGACAACTCCCAGAGCTGGAGTACAATCAGGGAACAGAGCAGGTATGTGAATGAGGCAGTGGAAGTCAGCTTAAGCTGGAAGTTCAAATAGAAGGCAGGGTGCTGCAATGCTGATTAGGTGGCATGGGATGCTGAGTAGGTGGCATGGGGTCCCCCAGGATGTGGAATCTAAGAGCCAGACGGTATTTGCCAGAGCTCCTGACGGTGGAGATGTGCTTGGCTGCGTGCTGACCCTAGGTCACAATCCCTAGGTCCACCCAACTCACCTAACAGGTACAGCGTACAAATCAAAGGTTAGGGACAGGCTAAAGACTTCCAGGGACGAAGTGAAGCACAGAGACTGTAGTCGGGGATTTCCAAGGACAAAAGCAAAGCGCAGGGCAGACTGTAAACAGGGATTTCCAAGGACAAGCCAAAGGTTCGGTACACGGCAAAACTTCCAGGATTTCAGGGTAAAGCACAAATGGGGGACTCGGCAACTAGCTTGGGAAAGCGTTGCTCGGGCCCTGTGCCGTTCGCTGCCCTGGGTTTAAATAGAGACAGGAACAGTGAGGATCCACAGGATTGGCCACAAGCGGTCTGCACTGATTGGCTGAGAAGCTGCATAGGAAACAGCAGGAGAGGTCGGCCGACGCCTAAAGCTTGCAGACAGGTGCAAGTGTGAGTCAGGTTTAGAGCACATGCCTGGAGGACTACAAGCACCAGCACTGCATGCCTGCAGAACCAGGGGTAAGAGATATGTAAATACTTGTAGAACTACAAGTAACAGCTCAGCTGCAAGTCTGCAGCTGAACTGTGACCAAAAAAAAATATGAATAGGATGTAAAATGCAGGAAGCAGTGTGGAGCAATACTGACGTGTCCAGTGTAGAGCAGTATCCTTTGTCCATTTTATATTGGTTCGTAAATACAACTCTCAAGTATTGTAATAATTGGGACCTTGCTGCTATTGCTCTATTAAAATGAATAAATGGTTACTTCTATGTATCCCTACGATTTTGGTTCCACCGAGGTTGCTAACTGATTTCTCGTATTTTGGAGCTAAACCAAACCCTAGAAAAAACCCATCATCCCTTTACCCAATAGGAGCAGCTTTCAGGAAATGTCACTGAAAAGTGGGATGGTGAGTGCGCAAGGCTTAGCTATAGGGGTAGAGCTTATTCCCATAAAAAATCTAGCCGATCAAACAAAGTGAAAACAACATTGGAGGGGCACATGGACGAGGCACTAGCAGAAGGTATTAGCAGGAGGCTTATGGTCTTTACTCTACTACAAAGCTTTTATTTTTAAAAGTTTCGGAACATTGATAAATTGGTTTTAAGAACAGGATGTCTTCCTAGATAGTTTGTCTGTAATTCTGCTTATGTGAAGTTTAAAATATACAGAATGATAGATCAGTAATATAACTTGTGAGTAGCTGTGACAAGTGTCATCAAAGGTTGCTGAGAGCCATGTTTCGTGCACTAGTCACCACCACTCTCCTACTTCCCTAGTTTTGGCAACAATCTGATAATTATAACCTCTAACAATGTCTGTCTGTTTCCTTCTTATTTCCAGAATACAAATCGTTCCGTTAACCACAGATATAAGCACTTTGATTGGCTATATGAGCGCCTCCTAGTGAAGTTCGGATTAGCTATTCCCATTCCTTCTCTTCCAGATAAACAAGTCACAGGTAACTTCTAAGAGTATGTCAGTTTCATGTTAGCATGGTGTTCAAAGCTGGAAACTGGAAGTAGTGGCCTCAGTGAGCCACAACCCACGGGAAGCCATATTCATAGACCATCTTCCTCTGCAGCCACATACCACAAAATCTGCCACAACCTGGGCAGTAGAGAAACACGGTGTGTACCTGACTGTAAACCAGCCTCTGTATGTTATGGAAGGACAGTGTTTACACCCACCTAGACATCAATGGGTTTTTATTTATTGAGCCACTTAAGACTGAATTCCAGGCCAGCTAAATACAAAGATACAATATATACTGTATAAATGGGAGCTATATTTACCCCCTAAAGGACGTAATAATAAGTAATGCTGCCCATCTTGTCCGTTTACTCCGCCCCTCCAGGCAGCACCAGTCTTCTCTCAACTCCTAAGGTGATTTTGCACATATTTTCATTCTTTATTACAGTCAAATAAAAAAATAAAAAATACATGTTTTATACCCTGCCAGGCCCAAAAAAGTCAACATCCTGGATTTAGCCAAGGAAATAGGGTAGAGCCTTCCTTTGGATAATAGGTCTAGGTGCAGCAATGTTATGTCCTCAAAAAATAAGGTCAGCTGCCTACCTGAATATACACTGAATGATCAGGTTTTTCTATCAATGGATTTTTTCTTTCCTGATGGTATGACAATGTCAGGATTCATGGGGCTTAAATTGTCAAAGAGCAGTTCAGGAAGCATTAGACATCATTTTAAAACATGCATTGGCCACCACATAGTCCAGACCGTAACCCCATTGAGAATCTTTGGGATGTGCTGGAGAAGACTTTATGCAGTGGTCTGAATCTCTCATCATCACTACAAGATCTTGGTAAAAAAAAAATGGCAACTCTGGACAGAAATGTAATTGCATAAGTTTATTGAAGCCGCAATCAAAGCTAAAGGCTGTCCAACGAAATATTAGAGTGTGACTTTTTTTTCTTTGCCAGACAGTGTATATGCAGCGACAGTAAAATTATATTATATAGAATTATATACATTTGTTTTTGTTAAGCCGCTAACACCAACAATGTGACTTATTTTGTTCCACCGATTTCAACAATGGGGCTTATTTTATTCCACTGATATCAACAGTGGGACTCATTTTATTCCACTGATTCCAACAATGGGACTTAAATTATCCCACTGTTGCCAATATTGGGACCTAATTTATCTACTGATACCAACAATATAAAGTTTATTTCATCTCACTGACACTAATGATTGGGCTTATTTTGGTCCCACCGATGCCAACAATGGGGCTTATTTTTCTCCCACTGTCACCACAGGACGGGGCTTATTTTGTTCCATTAACCACTTCCCCTCCGGAGCAATTTTTTTATTTCTACACACCTATGATACAATCTGAATTTTTGGATAGGGCAGAGGCCCTGTGGAATAAAACAAATGCTAGTTTCAATATTTTGTATCACACAGTATTTGTGCAGCTGTTTATCAAAACAATAGTTTTATGATAAAATACACAAAAATGAATTTTAGTGCACACAAATGGAATATAATACCCAATTATTTTGGTAAAATGTAAAAGATGGGGTTTTATCGGGTAAATAGATGGCAAACATGTCAAGCCTTTACAATTTGTGTGTGCCTATGAAATTGCAAAAAACCACAGTACCCAGAATTTCCCATAGGCGACACTATAAAAGCCTTCACCGCTCATCAATTCAGCGTTGACAGTGAGTGATGGCCCTAGAATTATTGCTTTCACACTAACGTTTGTGGCGATATGTAACGTGTGGTGCAATCATTGTTTTCATACAAACCCGAGGGTTATTATATCTCTGACACTTTTCATTTTTCTCCCACTGGCACAAACTACATGGGTCTCATGATATTCCACTGGCACCAACGATATGGAGGTTTTTTTTTGTCACACCAACATTTAAAGTTATCTGAACCTTGTGAAAGAGAGAGAACTTCTAATTATGGGGCTTCCTGTTTCTCCACCTGCCAGAAGAGCAGGATGGAGAAAAAGAGATTGCTCTGTCCTTACCTGCTTCAGCCAAGCTGAGCTGAATGGGTTTGGAGGATCATACCTTGAGCATTTGACCTTTCATTATGTAGACTAAGCACCTTTTTAGGTTTTGGGGGTTTTTTTTTTTTCTTTTCAGATTTAGTTGAGTGGCCTGAATTTCTTGAATTGTATAGGCGGATAACTATTATCCTGAGGTGCCAGAAGTTTGTTAACTATGCTTAAGACACAGTAACACATGACAAGGGGGTATTTGGTCAACAAAGGCTTTTTTAAAACAAGTGAACCTATCATAATCTGAAAATCCGTCAACTAAGATACTTCCTTGGCTTGATTTAAAACTAGGGATGCACCGATACCGATAATTTTTTTTCGGTACTCGCCGATAGCAATTACCGAGTAACGGAAGTCCCATTCAGGAAGCCAAGTGGCGTGTAATGACTCGCCACCTGGCTTCCTGATTAGCCGGGAAGCCAGGCAGCGTGTAAAGACTCGCCACCCGGCTTCCCGATTAACAAGAAAGTCCCCTCCTGCCTTGGTATGTCCAGCCTGTCACCCCCGGGGCCTCTCCAGCCAGAACGCGGCCTTCCTCTGGTACCCAGCTGGAGCCGTCTGGCCGGCCAATCAGGAAGGCGGGCAGCTTGTAATGACGCGCTGCCCGGCTTCCTGATACAGGAAGTACTCGTGCTAGGCATCGGAGCATTTGTGACGAAAGAGCATGGAGCTGCTTCCCGGCCAATCAGGAAACCGGGCAGCGTGTAATGACGCACTGCCCGGCTTCCTGATACAGGAAGTACTCGTGCTAGGCATCGGAGTACTCGTGCTAGTACTCGCCCAAATACTCGGTATCCGCACCGATATCGATACTCGTATCGGTATCAGTGTATCCCTATTTAAAACTACAACACACGCATATACATTTTGTGGTTTTTATTGGTATTTAAGAAGAAGTTGGTGAGAAGAGCTTCTCTCCCTCCCTCTATTAGTCTGTGTTCTCAACCTTAGTTGCTGTTAAAGTAGGTGAGGGTAGGCTCAGACAAAGTGATGGCTTTTTGTGTGCAGCAAAGCTTATGTATTAAGTTTTCTTTTCTTTTTGGTTTTAATAATGATCTTCTGTACCGAGGTGTATGTGTGCCTGTCAGTATAAGGACTGTGTTCATATGTGTGCATTGTAGACCTGTGTTACTTACTCCTGACTCTTTAACTCTGCACATTTCTTACTCTTGTACTTTGCACATTACTTATTTTTGACCCAGAGCAGAGTAGACTCAGGTTTGACCCTTTAAAGCCACTTTCACTGTTGGCACAATTTAGCCACGCCACCTATTAGCCATGGTGCATGTTGAGTGCTAGGTGAGAAGCAGATGGCTCCGCACAGATCCAAGTATAAAGAAGTAATCACCCTCACACCAAGGTGCCATGCATCATTCCGTCCTTTTATTAATGTCAGATACACATGGCATCACAAGCATAAAGCTAACATGGTCCCTTCATCAGGCAAAAAGCAAAGTGATAACCAATGTGAACAAAGTGTAGGCTTATATACAGTGCATGCTATTCAAAATAGATCACCACCACCCTCCTCTGACGTCAAAATGATGTCACATTGGTTGTCGCTTTGCTTTTCGCCTGATGAAGGGACCATGTAAGGTTTTCGAATCGTTGCTTTATGCTTGTGATGCCATGTGTATCTGACGTCAATAAAAGGACGGAATGATTTTAAACTAAAACACGTGAATACAGTGGGGCAAAAAAGTATTTAGTCAGCCACCAATTGTGAAAGTTCTCCCACTTAAAAAGATGAAAGAGGCCTTAGTTGAGGTCTACCTATGATGCCAATTACAGGCCGAACTCATCTTTTTAAGTGGCAGAACTTGCACAATTGGTGGCTGACTAAATACTTTTTTGCCCAACTGTATATATTTTATGGTTTTTATTTATAGTCAAATAGATGTTGGCAGCACGTGAAAAAAACAAATATGGACTTCAAATCTTCCAAGGTCCAGAGTCAGAACCATGAATGCACAGACCCATGGGACCAGTCCTTGCTGAGACTCTGCTGTCTTTAACAATAAATGACTTTGAGAGGGGGAAAACTCAGCAGTTTTGGTGTTCTAGAACGTTCACTACCCATAAAACCTAATAATTGCCTAAACAAAGAACATTAAAGTGTACGTAAACCCAAAATCTATTTTTCAGTATGTTCAGCATAATGTCTCACTGTTTGCAGTTTTCTTAAAGTGTATTTGCAAGTCATATTTGAGAAAAAAACCCTCTATGTTCATATTCGCACAGCGTACCTAAAAATATTTTCTTGCCTTTTAACTGTTTTCCTGGAGGAGGCCTTTGGCAAGAGTGCAAGGTATTCTAAACAGTTTGTGGGTGAGTGTGTCCCCAAGTCAAAGGGGGCAGACTGCATTTCCTCTCATGTTCCTCTAGCACACAATGCTATACATAAATCTTTAACCCTTTTCTTAGGGCAGTCAGAGTTCAAATCTAGTTTTTAACTAATAATAAAATCTGCCCGCACAGTGCAGACAGGGTTCATTTTGATGAGCATTAAATCCACACCATGCTAGAATATGTATCCTGTAAAGGGTCAGGATTTAACTCCACAGTTACTGTGAGTTTTTACTGCAGCTTAGCTCACAGTAGAAGTCTGGGAGTTTCTGCTCGGTCTGGAGAGAGCTGTGACTTGCGTAACATTCACCTAATATGACAGTACTGTGTGCGTTTTCCACATTGTGTCTGGCACAGGGAAAATAGTTTTCCAGATGACTCACAGGCTAAACAGGAAAAAGGGCTGCAGTCACGTGAAGGCAGATTACAATACTGGGGGTTGTTACTGCTGAGGCTAATATATTGAATTATTTTTGAATTACAGGAATTGTAGAATATTAATATTTTCCTAAATGCCCTGAACCCGCCAGCTACCTATTTCAATACAAAAAGGGGCAATTATTTTTAAGCATTAGGTTTTGCCTCCCAACGAGTTCATGGTTTCATTCTGACTCGCTGTCTAAACAGTGTATTAATATTTGCTTCCACTGATGGCAACCTTTCAAAGATAGATGGAATATAAGGTATAGGTATCATAATGCTGCAGCAGTGTTCAATTTGCATTCTACTAGGTCTAAAAATAATGTCTCTACTGTTATTAGTATCAGTGCACAAAAGCGTAACGTGTATGGTATTTTTATTTCTATGTGTGGGGTTGGGGTTAGAAGGATACAGATTTGTTTTTATGTGTAAAGGTTCGCTTTAAAAACAGATTTGCTACATTTTTGCATTTACTGCATAGATTTTTATTGTTATACTATTGATTTTTGTGGTATTTTTTGTAAGAGTCTGAGTTTCTACGGGGCATTGGTGATAATTGGATTGTATACTAAATTGAAACATGTTTTTCTTGTACAAGATGTTCAATGGTAATAGCAACATCAGCAATAAACTGTTTACGGTAACCTCCATAACAAAGACTAGAGGCCACCACCTAAAATTGGTGGAGAAAAAATGTAAGCACAAGGGGCGTAGGGGCTTCTTCTCAGTAAGAGCGGTCAGGGTATGGAACTCGCTGCCACAAGCAGTGATTTCAGCTAAGAGTGTTGAATCATTCAAAAAGCATTTGGACGATTTCCTCAGAGACCGCAACATACAGGGGTACAGGTACACTTAAGAAGAAGATGACACATGGACTCATCCACACTCATACACATGTAGATTCACATGCATACACGCTATAGGTTGGACTTGATGGACCCGCGTCTTTATTCAACCTCAAATACTATGTAACTATGTATAATGGTCGTCAATGCTTATAGAGAGGTTGAATCCTTCTAGGAAACAGACGGGCTGCAACCCTCCTTACTCTATCTGAAGCTACAAAGAAAGTATTGGCTATACCTCTGCATGTATGGGGTAGAATTTTTATGTTTGTTTATGGAGCTTAAACATTACTCTTTTATACTCTATGATCAATTCTTAGAATGTTTACATACTGGCAGTTCTTGAAATGGGAGCTTCGATAATAACCCCCTCTGTCAATTGTCTATGGCACTTTCTGTAAATTACAGTGCTTTACATTACCATTTACATTGGCCCCACTTGGACTTTTGCAACCTAAATAAAAATGAATTTATTTGGTTTTAGGGTCACTGATTAACACAATAGTTTAATGATGTAAAACATAGAAAAAAATTATTTTTAAAAAACATTTTTGTCCATGTGTCAGTTTATGTAATAGAAAGATGAGAAGTGAATTTATTTTATCAGTGTACCAAATAAACTGTTATAAAAAAAAAAAAAGTATAAACAAATATTTAGGTAGGCAAATGAGTTATTGTCAAGTTAACCAACCTATACTGATAGTGCTAAGCATGGGCATCTATCCTTCTGTGGCCTCTGGTCATGAAAGTGTTAATTTCCACTTATTATGCCTATATACAGCCTTGATTTAGGATTCAGATGGCTACTAAGGGGCAAGAAGATTATATATAGATATATAGATAGATATTTTATTTAATAAAACATGAATAAATAAAAGTTTATAAAAAATAAAGATTTTTTTTTTTGGGGGGGGGGCAATTAGGGGTCTAAAAA